AGAGGTTGTTGGCCACAGCCAGTCAGGGCTGCAGCAAGGTTCGTTAGGCGTGCAGAGATGCCCTTTGTTCTCTGTGCCAGCCTGGTAACTCAGGTGCAGCTTACACCAGCCTGTAACTTGCACGTGTGGCTGCCTAGTTGTCTGTAACAAACCCAGCACTGTGTGCATGTGAGTACAAGCGAGCTGGAAGTCGACTGAATGTGTTGTAATGTGTTAGTCTCTTCAAAGGTCATAACTGATCCTCTTCTCTTGTAGATGGGTTTGGTTTTGCTGAATTTCATGCCACATAACACTACTTTCTCTGGGAAATGTGACAATACATCTGCCTTCTTGAATCTGACTTTTGAGAAAACAAGGGTTATCTTCCGCTTTGCATTGGTAAGAATCTCTAGACAAAACATGTAGAGACTGCAGGAGTTTTCATGTGGAAAACTAATCGGGGCAAGTATAAGAGAAAAAAGATGCAGCTACAGGAAGGGGAGTAAATAGTTCCTTTGTTTTTAATGCTAGCATTTAGAGGGTTAAACACTTGGTAACTGTTGTGAAGAAAGAATATGTATGTGTATATATGCAGACATACCTATGTATACACAGAAATCTGTTTTGTTTGGAATGGGAATTTCTTTTAAGATTGTGTTACCTGCTCTCTAAACCTTCTTGCCCAGCCTGTGACAAGTAGGCACCTCATCTAACTGTACAAGTCTGGAACTGGATTTAAGTCCTCATTAACTTTCTGTGTACAGCCCAAGGGCCATGTGTGCCCATCTTACAGTCTCCTGTGGTGGTTGGGAGTCCCGTTTCCCACAGCCCTGCCCCAGGGCTGTGTTACAGCTGTGTACGCTGGAGGACTGAATCCACTGTTTGTCAGAGCTTCCTGCTCCTTTTAGTACTTGTGGGATTGATCCAATGCAATCACCTTGACCTGTTGCTATTAAATGACTCCCCACATCTCTGTGGGGTCAGAGCTGCTTTAAAGCTGCACCTGTAGCACAGGTGAGATCATTGCACTGGCATGGGTGGGGCTGTGCCTGTTGTGTGGCTGTCAGGTCAGCCTCTGAGGGGTGACGATGCCCTTTCCTCGGCCCCCTTCCCTCCCCCAAAGTAGTCTTCCCTAAGGCACACACCTTCCACAGCTTTTCTCTCCTGAAGTGCAGCTAAGCTCTTCCTTGGGATGCTTGTCCCAGTTCTGGACTCTCCTTTGAAAAGCTTTTTCAAAATGCATGCAAAATTGAACCTGAATATTAGCAGCTTGTGTTGTACATCATTAATTTAAATGACAACTCTGGTTTGTTTTCTATTTGTTTTAAAAGAATGCAAGTACTGAAAAATTCTTCCTGCAAGGTGTGAATGTAAGCACAACTCTGCCTTCTGAAGCAAAAGGTAGGGATTTGTAAGAAGTCTGCTTTCAGTGACTACTGTAAATATTAAGGGTTGTCTGTATTAAATAACAGGGTAGAAATGTTGGGGATGAATGTATCGTATTTAAGCTTTAGGAGCTTTACAGCTCCTGCTCTTCAGGATTCTGTAACAGGACTTTCTCTTGCACAGTTCCGAAGTTTGAAGCCTCGAACAACAGCATGAGTGAGCTGAGCGCTACAGTAGGGAACTCCTACAAGTGCAGTGCTGAGGAGAATCTCCAGGTCACAGACAAAGCCCTTGTCAATGTATTTAATGTGCAGGTCCAGGTTTTCAAGATTGATGGAGACAAATTTGGGGCAGGTAAGAGGTTTACCTTGGGGAGGGGGGGGGTGACACACCCTAAGATTTGTGAAGTACACTTTGATAGAAACATAATATTCTGTAGTCAAATATCAGCTTGTGGGAGCTGTGCTTAGTCTCTGCATGCCCTACTACAGATGTCGGGGGCTGTAAGGTGTCAGAGTTGAGGCAAGTGCAAGAAGTACATAAAAAAGCTTTGAAATAACAAGGTCTTCTTCCTTGTGGTCCAGAGAAGAGTTAAGGCAGAGCGTTAACTTTCCCTCCTAACCGTGTGCGGACAGTTGTACAAACGGGGCAAAGTTCTGGGCAGTTCCTGACTCTTGTAGTTAAGGCTGTCCTTTGTGACTGTGGTTAAAGCAAAACGGCTCTGCGAGGAGCCGCAGGGATATATTTACAGCAGCTGAGCTTGTGCATAAGAGTAACAGCTCTTGAGAAGGAAACAATTACTATACATCTCTGTTGTGCGTACAACTAGTACTAGAAAGGCTTCATCCTGAAGGATCGTAGTTAGTGGACTTGGCTTCCTTTTGGTTGTTGGTGAGCTAAGCCAGAAGCTAACCGGAACCAGTGTTACCGATGCGCTGTGAGCAGAAGGTTGAAGTTCTGGGTGTAACTGTTTGTTGGTGCGCTAGTGCCTAACGTGGATCTCTTTCTCTCTCCTCAGTGGAAGAATGTCAACTGGATGAAAATAACATGCTGATCCCTATAATAGTTGGTGCAGCCCTTGCTGGTCTTGTTCTAATTGTCTTGGTTGCTTACTTGATTGGCAGAAAGAGGAGCCATGCTGGATATCAAACAATTTAATGACTTGCACTAAAATCCAGTGTAGATGAAAAGCAATTGCAAGAGGCTGGGAAAAAAAAAAAACCACACACATTTCCCCTGAGCTAAGATTGATATTGTAAGGGAACACCTTTTCTTGCAAATTGCTGCTTCTTTAAAGTCTGCTTTATTAAATGTGAAATCATCTTGCAGCATTTAACTATGCACAAAAATAACTTCTGAAAATTCTGGTGTTTAATTTTGCTAACTAGTTTAAATATTTACCCACTTAGAAACAAGCTAAAAGTTTTTAAGGGTGCTTTTTTGGAATTGGCGTAAGGTCATGTTGGCTAAAGATTCCAGAGAGGGATGTTGCTAATTCACACTGACTCAACTTCAGAACTCTTAACAAAGGGAAAAGGTTCCTTCTTTGTACTGCTGCCATCCAGCGATTATGTTAATTATACTGATGATGCATTTAAAAAAGTTTAGTAACAACTGACAAAATGGAAATTTAAGACCTAAACTCCACCTCGTCTCTTAGGTGTGTGTTTTTTACTAAGCTTTAAACTTGATGCCTGGCACATGCAGGGTGTGAATGATGCAATACTCAAACCTTACAGGAACTCTTTATGATTGGACAACTCCCCTGTTTGATATTTTTGATGCTATGCCAGCTTGTTAGGAGCTGGTACTTTTTTAAAATGGTGTTATTTTTATTTACTTTTTTTTGTAAAGTGATTTCAGTCTATTCTGTTGGAAGGTCCAGAGAGATCCTGTTACCGCACATGTGTACAATATCGATCTCAATCTGCTGATTCTCTTGCTTTAAACTTGGCTGGGGGGGTTGTACACTTTAAGGATCAGTTCTTATGTATGCATTGCCTGTAACAATGCTAATAAAGACACTTTTTTTCTGTATATCTTAGTATTGCTGATCACTCTTAAAAAACATTTGACCATTTGGTAAGTGCTAGAGTCGTGGTTTGGCTCTACAGGGGAAGCTTTAAACAAGCTTTAGTGTGGAGTTATGTTAAACAAATGTTTGGGGTTTGTTTTTTGTTTATTTTTTCTCTGTGGCACGAAGGTGAGGGTTGACTGTTCTGACGGTGCATACACAGTTTCTTGTTTTCGACTTTGTGCTTGGAAACAGGTAAAGCTTCTGTGTATCAGTGACCTGAGAGCTGGAGAAGTTAACTCTTCCATTAAATTGCTGCTTGCTGAGAAGTGTCGGTGTATTGGTCTGCCCTGCTAAGCATTGCTTTCTGAAAGCGCTGCTATGATATTCAGTATAAGGACTGTGCAAATGACATTTTATGTTTTATTTTGAAGTTGAATTCTTCCCACAGAGTAGACTTGCTGAGGTCTAGGTGTGTTGTAAAGTGCTGGAAATGATGAACCTTTGTGTTTAAAGCTTCCCTGACTCCCTCCTGCAGTAATGTTTGGGTGTTAACCGTGCTAGCTCTTCAGGGCAGGAATCAAGGCCCACTGAACAGCTGCACAGAACGCTATTTGTTGGATGAGGAGAACCGAACATGTGGCACTAAGGCTGGTATACTTCAGACCATCTGCCCTGCTGCCTTGAAGGTACCTGGAAACTATGGATTTTTGCCAGTGGTGAATAAACTCATATTTCCTAATACCTGCAGCTGTACTGGAAGTATGGTACTGCTACTGTCCTTGTACTGTAATGGAAGAGGTGTCTGTCTGGTACCATAAAGGACCTTAACGACCAGTCAGTTCCAACCCCCTGCCATGGCAGGGACACCTCCCACCAGACCAACCTGGCCTTGAGCACTTCCAGGGATGGGGCACCCAGAACTGCAGCTCTAGCTCCTGCTGTTTCCCCCCCCTTCCCAGCAGGAAGGGGTGGGAGAGGATTTGCCCACGAGAGGGCTCTGTAAGGACAAGAAATTCAGCGGCTCCCAGCCCCAGCAGGGCTTGTTTCTGCCCAGGGGTAGGATACAGAGACTTGCAGGAAGGCACAGCTTTGGCACTGCCCCCTGTCTCACCCTGCCTTTACAAGTGTTTCTCCCAAGATTTGAGAGACACAGGTAGATGAGGGTAGAGCACCTGTAGTGCAACCTCGGTGCACCAACACAAAGCAGAAGTACGGCATCTGCTTTCAGCATCCCTTACAACCAAGTGAGAAAGGCCACTTCCAGACTTGAGTAATTACTTGTTACCAACGATCTAGAGCTAGAAAACCCTGAATAAGCATATAAAATACAAAGAGTGGTTATTGAGGAATCTTTGCTGCTCCTTTCTGTAGCCTGGATGTGTATAGGTTCCCTTCTGCCTTTACCTGAAGTGCTGTTACAGACTGCACAGAGTAACTTCTAGTGAAGAGAAAGATCACCCTCCTTGTTGCTGTCTTGCCCTGCACTTTGCCATATTTCTTCCGTTCCTTAAGTGATAGCTGTGAGGAAAAAGGAAGATGCTTGTATTCTAGCCAACTGATGGCAGTCAGGAGAGAGATCAGATACTTTACTCTCTTCACATGAAGGAACAGTTCTGACAAATTAATTTATTTTGTACAAATGATAGCAGTGTCACAGTTAATACAATAGGAAGGATATGGAATTTTATACACCTGTTTTCTTTTAACATTACAAAATGCCCTGAAAAGACAAGGACGGTGACTTGTTTAAAAGGAGCATCCTGACACTGATTGCATTCTACTCTGAAAACACTTTAATCCTTTAAAAAAAAAAAATCAACAACAACCACCACTACAGTTCCAGTTATCAAGTCTGACATACAGTACGAAGTGTTAACAACACTTACTTGAAAGGCAGGAAAAATTGGTCAAGTGTCAGTTAACTCATGGAAAGCTTGAAGTGTGCTTTAGTCAGTGCAAATAGAGGAATGTATTGGCTGCTGTAGTATCTGACCACCTGGTGAAATCTGCTGAGTTATCCCTGAGAAAGCATCTTCTCTCTGCAAGTCTCTCGGAGTTTGTTGATTGTTGCCATGGACAAGCTTCCAGGGTCTGTGAATATTTTCTGGGGGCAAAAGGAGAAAAGTCATAGTTGAAATGCTGGTTTTGGACAACATGCTGGAATTCTCACAGAATTCTTTGGAGTGTGAAATCCCTGCTTTGATATCCACACTGTGAAAATGCTTCCTGCTGTTTGGCCTCCCTGTAACAGGGTAGCATCTTCATCTGCTCTGCTGTAAGGAGATGGCAAACCTGCAGCTCCTAACAAGTGCCCTAAGTTACAGAAAAGCTAGTTTGAATGTAAGTGTCCAGCTAAAATTATTTTAGAAGACATTTGTCTTGGTGGATGGAAAAGCTAGGTTGAATGTAAGTGTCCAGCTAAAATGATTTTAGAAGACATTTGTCTTGGTGGATGGCAGGCATGTTTAGAACATACTAAACCGTCCTGGTTAATGCTGCAAAGTATCAGCGCATTTCTCATGTGGTGCTAGCATAGGTTGTTCTGGCTCTGGAACACATACATGCATAAACCAGTATGTTCCTACGGCAATAGGCACTCGCTATACTACCTTTGCTGCTCTCCTCTACCACGCTTTCCAGGGTAGTAATGTCTATGGCTGTAAGAATTTGAGGCATTTCAAATGCCATCACGCGTATCTGTAATATTTTTTTTTTTTGCTTTGACTTGTTGCTCAAGAACAATGTATTTGTTTCCACTGCTTCATCTAAAACTTCTGACTGAACGAAACTATGAAGCAAGCTGCAAGTTTATGTACTTTGATCTACAGTTACAATGCATGGGCTCCTCAGTTCTCTGTAGTTGTAACAGACACCTCTGGAGATGAGATGATGAGCCAGTTCTCAACAGCATTCTGGTAAAGAAGCCTGCATCGCATTAAGCTAAAAACTTAAGGTTTTGGTTCAGGAGGCATAAAATACTGAACTGTCATCACCTCTACTGGTACTAGTATCTGTACTGCTGAAAAACCCCCCAAGCAAACCCAAAAGTATGTGTTTCAAAGTTACGTAAGAGCCTGAACTAAACTGTTTATTTAATTGCCTTCAAAGCCCCCCTCACAACAGTAACAAGTGCTGTTAAAATAAACTGTTTTATGCAGGGTAACTGCAAGCAAAAAGTAGTTGATTTTCTAAAAACAGCTGCTGTAAAATGTGATGGAATTAAAGGGGGGGGGGGGGAAAAAAAGGGAGTCCTTCAAGGACAAGTGTGGGTATCAGCCTCTGAATCCGTATTCTCATGGCAGTTAACATTTAACAAAACTCTTATTCTAAACCCTTTATGGAATGGGAAAACCCCTCACACACCTCCCTTCTACATTAAAGCTGTACCTGTGATTTATTTTTCTTTTGCTCCTTTAATTAAAGGCTCACAAACACTACTAAGTTAAGCTTATTTTTCTTCTAGATGAGCAAAAATGAAACGTAACATGAATGACACCCTGCTGTGACAGACCTGTGCCCAGAGCTCTGGCATGGGCGTGAACATCTTTTGGGGGTAAAAGTCACCTGCGGGGACGCAGTTTTATGCACGCTTGACAAACAACGGTAGTGGAGTTGGCCAAGGGATTTATGACAGGTGTGTTCCTGTTACTTTTTTGTAGCTAACATCTTTTACGTTTCCATCTTCTGAGTTAAGCTCCGAATCTAATGTTCTATACAGATTTGGCATCCAATCTGTTAATAATTTACAAGAATAATTCTTAGTTTGCAGATTGTCATAAGACTTGAGCACTCAACTACATAGTTTTTTTTGTATGGAAATAAGAACTTAGTGCTACCTTTTTGTTCTAAACAGAATGTTTTATATTCTGGCACTGTGAAGTTTTATCCATGCAAGCTTAAAATTCACTTTGTGTCTATTCTAGAATACTCTAACAATTCATCTGAAAAAAGCACAAGAACACAATCCATAGTTCACTGAAAGGCAACAATAAAGTTATTTTCTTGTCAGACTTCTTGCCTTAACTGGTAAAAAGAACAAAAAGATTTTTTTTTTCCCCCCCTGTATGACGGATAATGTGAATGGACTGCTATATATGGATTTAGATAATAATTCTTTTTAAAAATTCTTAGAAAGGTTTGAGTTTCTTATGTAAAAGCATTCTTCATCTTTTTGGCAATTCCCACAGACACATTTCTCCTAACTGTATCCATCTTTTTGACTGAGCAAAAACATTTTTAAGTCAGCATTGTTTTTAATTTGTAACAACTAAAAGCTGCAGAGAATTTACCTGCATGAAGCTGTGACACTCTGTTACAAATGTTCCTTTGGTGATCTGCTTAAATTTATCACAAATGTCAGGGAAATTCGTGGCTTCCAAAATAAAAGCTTGGTGTTGCTTAATTAATGTTAAGGCCACGCGGAAGATGATCTTTGACCCTTCATAGAATAAACAATCCCATATTCGGAGCACAGTCTGCAGGAAAGGAGAGAATTCAGATTACCGCTTCTTGATTTCCAGTGGGTAATTATTACTAAAGCAGTAAGAGAAATTATTACTAAAGCAGAAAGAGAAATTACTAGAGCAATAAGAGAAAATGAAATAACGATTATGAGCGTATATTAAGAGAACTTTATGGCACTAATTACCTCTACTGGAAGAATGTCGATGAACAAGCATATAAACCAGCGTGACACCACTAGGGTCCACATGACGCCGTGTCTTTCCATCAGCTCTGCCACAGCTGGAACTTTCATTTTCACAAGTTCCCCAAGGACTTCCTGATCAGTTTTCAGGCCCAACATTGCGGAGCTGTAATAATCTTGGAGAGAAGAAACCCAAATTCAGGAATCTCTCGACATGATCTTGCCACAGAATTGAAGCGAATGTCCTGTGCAGCTGAGTATATAAAGGCAGGTTGAGCCTATGGATCCCAAGCTGAAGTACATCAAAGCACGCAGCAAGGGTGTCTGCGTTGTGGTCACACAGCCCTTCTCTTTCAGCCGAGCCCTCCGCACAGACACCTCATTCACACCTACCAAACTGTCGTCTTTCTCTCTGATGTTTCTTTGGCAATTCATTCTTCCTTCCCAAGGAAGGATCATCTGGGTAGTTTTTAACTGCTAGCTTAAACTGCAAAAGCCTTACTAGTATTTAAACAGTTCAATGTAAGCACCACTGCCTTCCTGCGTGGGGGGGGCTGCACACCTCCCAGCCCACACATACCCAGGCAGGTTAAAACAAACAAACAAACAAACCCAAAAAACAAACAACCAACCCCAAAACAACCCGTAGCCTTTAGACTGGGCCCAGTCACAAACTGGAAACACAAACTTCTGAGTGTCAGCTGTGCAGGGGTGCTGGAGGCCAGATACCACTTCTCCTAGGGTGCCACCTAGCCATTAGGTTAAGAGTTTTTCCTCTGAGCCAAGTTTTTCTCTGAGCCAAGGAAATCCCACTTTTCATAGAATAATTCCAAAAGGAAGTGAATGACAGATCCCTCAGGCAACATCTCTTCCTGCTTCATTTATCTGCAAGACAGGGGTTGAAATTAGCCGTGCAAGTCCTACACTGGTGGTCACTGCACTAAACTGTTAAAGCCAAACTTGAGAACGATGGAGCCCGCTACAACTGTTACTCCACAGCCCGTCGGACGGGGTAAGCATTTTCATTACCAAGGTGCAGGCTGAGTAACAAGCATCTTGATTCTATGAAAAAGTAGTTCTGGGTATACTTAAGGGAAGAGAAAGATTATTTGAGTTCATAAGAGTTCAGATGGCCCAGCAAGGGACAAGAATTACACAGATGTTTAAGGAATTCATATTTTGGGTTTAGATGTTTTGACTGAAACATTTAAGCTGGACTTGATGGCTCCAGCCCTGGGAAGCAATCCTTGATGGTTCACTAGTGCTTTGCTGACAAGAACTATGTTACTAACATTATTTACTGAAAGAAATAACTGGTGACACAAGCACCTTTCTGTGTGTTTCTTTCCTTCACTGATTCTGGAAACCCACCATTCAGGTTTCTCTAACTTAGCTGGTTTCTGCCAAGGTTCCCAGACGCACACTGCATAGGCCCATGGTTCACATGATGGTGAAGGAATCGGAAAGAACAAAATCCATTTGTCTGAAATAATTTTAATAAAACCTCCCAGCGCCACAAATAAGTTTACGAAGATGTCCAAGTTACACAGTACATTTATAACCACTTCAATTGCTCTCATGAAATTACAAGAGCAGTTTAGTATTCCACTCTAATTTTCCTGAACAGACTTCCCACTCCAGGAGCTATTTGGTCTACATTTGTCCTGTCCAAACTGCCAAACATCTACAGGAGTTTTTGTGGTACTAAGGAGCATCACATTCAACCTTTAAGAATCTAGCTTTTTGTCTATGATCCTTATTTGCTTTGTTCCCATTGAAGAATGATAGCTAAAACTCCTCTACAGACAGAAAAGTCACTGCCACTATGTACCTTCCTTTAACCATTTACCTTTCAATTGCTTGGAGGGAAAGCTCTGAGAGCTAAGGCCCAAGTAATCCCATGAAAAAGTGCACTAAAACCAAACGGAGTCACACCCTGACCTTGAAGCCAACACAAAAACCTCTCTCTGCATATTTTGTGTTAGCATTGTGCTTATTTGTGAGCTGGAATGCAGGTAAAGTAACATTAACTGGCTGAATAAACCTTTTTAAAAATGCTACTTTAATGTAAGTGAAAAACGAATCACATCTCAAATATCAGAGCAAGCCTTCTTCCCTTTCCTACCCTTCCTCCTCTTCCTCTCATACATCCACAAATCAATCTTTTTTTCCTTTTTTGTGCTCCTGAGACATGCAAGTACTTCAAGTTACCACCAGTGAGTGTCCTCAGGGGGAAGGACAGCAGCCCACACGCTCTCTGCTCTGCTGCAATCATCCGATATGCTGAAATCAAGAGCAGCTGCTATTTTTAATTTGTAGAGCAAAGTAAATGTCAGGATCTCAGTGAGAACGCAACCAGACACCCACCCAGCTTTTTGAGAGCTGGCAAATAAAAAGTTAACAGCCAGGCAACTTGGATGCGTCACGCCTTGAATTACTGAAGCGGCAAGCAGCTGGGAAGCCTTGGCATAAATTAAAATTTTGTTCAAGTTTTTGTTAGATTGTACTACTGGGCAGAAAGGAAAAAGGAGCTATTCATCTCTACGGGGCTGCCTCCTGCCATTCCTCCTGGAGCAGGAGCAGCTCCCATGTGCCCTGGTACACAGCGCTGCAATGTTCAGCCCAGCACTGCTGCAAAACAAGCAGGAGGAGTGATTAATGATTTTATGCAAATGCCAATAACCAAGTAGCAGGGTTTTTCCAGGATAGTAGCTGCCGGTTCACAACAGAAAGAAGTTACATTAAAAGAATCTGCATCCAAGATATTTTTATACGTAATTATTTCACATTAATTCTAGTTACTGTGGATATTAAATTATTACACATAATTAATATGTAATTATAATTTAACATATAGAATCTTACTATGTATCTATACTTTAATAGATACATGTACATATATAAAATTAGCTCCTCAAATTAGGAAAGCTGCATTTCCCATCCTCCAGGAAGATTCCTGCAGGACCCCGTATCTGTGCAGGACTTACCCACAGATCATTTACAAGGAACACCAGAGCGTTGCAGTAGCCCAGGGGGTAGCACAGTCCTAACATCGATCTTCCGAGGGCAGCGTTACCCCCGGGGGGGAGCCAGGGCTCCAGGCAGGGCCGCCCCGGAGCACAGCCAGCAGCACCCACACCTGCGCTCTGCCCAAGGGACCCGCACCAGGTCCTGAGGGCTGTGCCGGGATGGCCAGAACCACATGGGCAAGTCAGAAGATCTGGCATCATGCTCGAGCCACCTTTGTGGCTGTCTGTGTCTGGTCTCACTAGTGAAAATGATTTTGTAACATGCTCAGGTGCCTAAGTGCTTGGTAACCTTTGACCTATGCGTCTTGTCTATTCTGTCCTTATTTGCTAGGGATGCCCAGTCCCTAAGCCTTCTGGAAACGTCCCCGCAGCAAAAGTCCTGCAGCTCTCCCTTGCTGCAAACGTTTCACTGTGTGACCTATTTTCTGAATTTTTTTATAATTGGCTGCTCTGCCCAGAATCTCTCCCTAAAGTCAAGATATCCTTGTTTATAAAAGAGTCTATACAAGCCTAACCCTTCCCCACATCACAAAGCTCTTTTTCTCAAGATACTGTGCAGCAAATTATTTTTACTCAGCTACCATCAAAATAAATGAGCTTTATGTTCTTTCCATATCTTATCTTACAAATTATTTGAAATTTCTAGATTTGCATGATCCACATTTAATTAACATATTAATTATTTTTCCCTCTCAATCTGGCAAAATACTGAGCTGTTGATGACCCAGAACAGACCTGAGTCAGTAACTGCCCACAATCTGCCATTTACTAATTAAAAAGAAAAAAAATAATAAATCAAATGTAGGCTAATTATACTGTGTATCTATTGATCTAGGCTGGTTTATAGGAATGTCCCCAGACAATGTATTCTCCCACTGAAAAAACACATAGCCAGATTGCTTCCTTTATTCCTCAAATTGTCAAACACAAGTGATAATGTTAACATGTAGATGATCACACACTACGTTGCTTTTCATCACATCTTCTGGAAGGCAACAAATGAAATGTTGTATTATAAATTATTATTATATTCTATAATTAAATTCCAGAAAAATGTCTAGATGAGAATGAAGTTTCCCAATATGAAACTCCACGTTTCCAAGCTCTTTTGTAAACTGATCCTAGACTTTCCTTGCTTTCCTCTCAGCTTTCCTTTGCCCATTGCTTCCCCACCTGCGCCTGCTTTGCCTAGTCTCTTGTTCCTGGTGCCTGCCTATGGATTTTGGATGCCTTGCTAAGTTTAGGAGTGCCCAAAAGTGTAGCCGAGGGCAATGCAGGCAGCACCCCATGTGGAATTTGCCCCCCTGAGTGCCCTTTCCTCATCGAAGTCCTGACCCCGAACAGCAGCACAGTGCCATGGCTCTTCCAAGAGGAAGAGAAGCTGATGATCCCGGAATTGAGCAGCAAAAAGGAAAAGCCAGCTTCACCAACCGCCGGGTGTTTTACTGCTACTGTACAACACAGGTGACCAGACAAAGGGACTTCTTTTTCCTTGTTGAAAGGGCTTTTTGTTACTAACGCTGCACTGACTGTGGCATGCTGTCCCTGAGCTTGAAACCTGTTCTGGCTCAGCATCTGGCAGAGAGAGATTCCTTAAACTACTTTTCACTGTGTCCCTATCACAATAATTAGCACCCTTCCGAATCCTACCAGGATGTCCAGGACTAACACATAACTGTCTGCTTGTGCTCCAGAGCAGTAATGAGATTTGCAGGAAATAAGGATAAAGCTTGCAGGGACTGTTTGACCTTGGTTCTCTGTTACAAATAGATTAAGAGGTTCCCAAAATAAAAGTTTAAGAAGCAGTACTCTTATAGCCTTAAATTACCTCTACAAGTCAGAGCTGCAGAAGTTAAAAAAGAATCCTCCAAGTCTGTTGTGCATATGTCAGGTTAAATATAAATACTTCTACTGCAACTAAAATGATATGAATTCTTGGTGTTACAGAAATACCCAAGACAAGACCTTAGCTCCGCTGCTTATCTTCCAGCATTTGTAACTTATTTCAAGAGCCTATATAACCCAGCCTGGGACAGACTGAGTCATTCGTCTTGGCGATCCAATTAATTTAACCTGAATATTTATATAAAACTGAAAAATTAAAAATTAGCTTAACTTTTCTTACAGTCCTAAGCAATGTAAA